CTAAACATTATATTAAGCTGACAGCTAAAGAAATGAGCCGTACAAACAATGCACATTAATGGATTCCAAAGCATGCCCGCGTCACGTGCACAAATGCACAGAAAAGGGGATAAAGGCAGTGTTTTTCTAAAGAGGAGGAAAGAAAAAGCACAGCCCTTTGCTGGCTTCCCCAAAAGCCCAGGGAACTGTGGGGGAGTAAGGGAGATGCACATTCCTCCCTGCTGTAATCCAAGTGCATTCGGTGTTCTTGCTWATCCATGGCAGGGTATTGCTTTGGTCATCTATGCCCTGCCTTCTAGGGTGTGTTTGTATAGCTAACAGCAAAACAGGATCCTCAGAAAATGGGAAAGAAGAAGTGGAATAAGCAAAGGGAGAAACTGCTTAGAAAAAAAACTTCTTCAGTCTTATTTCTCCTCAAACTGCACAGATCAGAATGAGACACCTGTGCTGGTGGGGTAGCTACAGCGTGAAGATTTCAAGAAGAAAAGCTGTGGGATTATAAAAGCCTCCCATGGAGGCCTCTCAGTGTGTGATTAGCACAGTACCCTCCGAGCACAGCACCGACCCCTGCATGGAGATGTGCAGCCCGTACGCTGGGAGCCACCCAACTCGCAGCTCTGGCTGCCAGGCAAGAGGAGAGTCAAGCAGTTCTCCTCATTCCTCCCTCGCCTGAGACAGTCTCACCCTCCGTGGTAAACCCAGCAGCCAACAGATCTCCATGACGAGGAGAACAAGGAATTGTGACCTTTACAGCCACCAAGCTAAAGAAATAACCAGTCTGGGGTGACCTACGTTTGTGACCCTGCTGCCGTTTGCTGAGGGGTCCATGGGAAGAGCATTGGTGGTGATGCCCCGCGCGCTACCAGCCTTGCATCATCTGATACATCATCTTCCAAGCAGGAACGACAGGGGCCCCAGCGCCTCAAGCAGCCATCCCAAGGGTAGGCCAGATCGCTTCAGTGGAGACTGCAGWGGGAAAGCTCCCTTAGCCTTCAGAAGCCAACTCGTTTGGACAGAACGCTGCGTGGACTTGACTGTGCGCAGACACGGCAGGGACCGCGCAGAGAGGCTGCAAATGAGGCTCATTCCTAGTCTGATCACGATGTGCCTTTTTTTTTTTTTTTTTTTGGTGCCATCTTACATTTTAACTGATATGCTTTTCAGATAGAGAACTCTGCCCATTAGTCTTCTGATCTCCTCTAATCTTTCGTTAAAAAATATCCTCCTGAGTTTAATAAGAACAAAACCAATAGAGTTCTACAGAAAAGTAATGCTCTTCAATCATAATTACAGTAAGGAGCATACAGAATTTATTAGACTGACAAGCTACATTTATTTTTATAAACCACACTATAAAATTCTATTGCAAGATTACAACTTTCTATTGTGTCTTAGACGACAGTCCAAGAAAACAGCAGAAAGATGATAATTTTCTATTAAAGATTACGAGACGTTTCCAAAAAGACACTTCGTTTGTAAAAGCCTCTGCCTGGTTTACCTCACTTGTGAGAGCTAGAACACAGAATATGCAGCTGGTGTTCAGGGAAGCCCCCCGACATTCTGTCACACTCACCTCCTGCCCAGCTTTGCTTCTACTGCAGCAAATGTTTCATTTCACTGTTACATCTGCCTGTTCACTACAGGAGGAAATCCTTTCTAAAACAGAAAACTCTCTGATATTTCAGTGTCATCCTTGAAAGACCCATCTGATTTTTCAGGTGAGTTTCAGCAGTACCTCAGGGGTTAAGCAAAATATTTTATCTGTAGCACATCAGTCCCCCAGGGTGGAGCCTTTCTGGTTCATCACTTTTATAATACAGACCTTCTGAGACACATCAACAGAATTTCTGTTGATTGGCTTCCTTGCCAAACATTGTGGAACACTATGTAATAAATAATACTGGATATGGTAAAATGTAAATTGGAAAAGCAAATGCACTGGTGGTGGAAAAAAAAGAAGAAAATGCGACTACAAGGCATAACAGCAGAGTGCAGCTGTAATAAGGAGTCCTGGAACTGAAGAGAGACTTTGCTCTCTTGGGGTGGGAAGAGTGATGCAGAAAGCCAACTGCTATGTTGTAGGTACTGAAATCTTAATTCCACTCATTGCTCTGCAGTCACAAACGGAAAGGGCACATTTCCATTCCATAGGTGACATGCCTTTCTTTGCCATGATTTCCATAGAGTAAATAGATTTTGGCAGCCTGAGAACTAGCTGTGTTTCAGGAAGGCTGGGGTGTGACACTAGTAGGAATTGGCACTGTCAYTGGTGTGAAACCAGCATCCTTAAATGTCAAAGGAACTTGCCATTTTCTTCAATCTGCATTTTTATCACAGATGCTCCTAGGCCATTGGAGAAGTGACACTAATGATGCATCTTCCAAGTTACACCTCTTCTCTGAGAAGGGAGGACTACAGCAAAAAGGAGCGCTTGGAGGGCAACCATCAACTGTAATCTAGCCCTGTGATAGTACAGGAACTGCCTAAGAGATCTCCATTCCCTGAAGGTTTTATAGGTTACTTAAAAACATCGGCCTCCAAACAGCTGTAAGCTTGCAGTAGCGAAATGAGGAATATCCCTTCCTTTCTCCTGAACCATTTATAATGTGGATGGAGAGAGACAGGTGATGTGCTCCCTGAAAATTCATGACTCTCAGTGCCCAACCCAAACCCTGAAAAAAATAAAAATCTTGGAACTGACAACTGGACAGTGCAATATATTCTTCCAGTCTGGCTCCGACAGCAAGACTCCAATGGAATTAAGGTTATCAGTAGGATGTGAGCTGTATAGATTAATGCTTCAGCTGATACTGCACGGGGAGAAGAAAAGCTAGGTTAGGATAAAAATAAGATATATAGTTAGTGGTACCCTACCTCCACAGTTTGTGCTTTCATCAATGCTGGAGGCTGGCAGGATCACTAAACAATGAAAATAAGAATGGAGAAAGTTGTCATTTTGCCATCACTTTGCTTCTTTAAGTAATTAAAACCCCAGTGCGCTAGACATGAGAAGCTGCTTGTGTGTTTTGCAGCAAGCTGAGAGTCTCTCTAAATTGAATGATAAGCTCAGCATGGGGAACCACATGCAACAAAGCCCCTCAAAAGACCTGACAATTCCAGTACTATTACCTGATCACTGTTTAGCTTCTTCCATTTGGAAAAAGAAGAGAGCCGAGAAAACACTACTGCTGTCTGGATATCTCTGATTTTTAAACAAGGACATTGTAGTCCAGAAAAAAAAWTGGAAAAGGGTCATTCAGTCTAGACATGTTAAGTATTTGCCTCAGAGATTCAATTTCCACAGAATCTAGGTTGGAAGATGCTCATGAACATCTCTCCATCAATAATGTTTCTTTGTTAGGCCACTAATACATTAATTGTCTCCATCTACCCCATCTTGCTTCCCTCCAGTGGGATGCTTTCCTCTGATCTCTGAACTTAGGGAGTTCCTGTTGACCACATCCACATGGAAAACAGGGGTCATTTCCATAACCCAGCCTGAGACAACTATGCAAGGTTAAAAGCTTCAATTCAAGCAATACTAGTTACTTATTATAGATCTCAGTAATTCTGTTTTATAAGAGAGTTGAGTTGTCCCCAAAGGAATGTCAGTTATACTGTGTCTGAAACACATGAGTTTATAGCACATTCGTTAGCTTGCTGGCTTGTTGTTTCAAACGCATCCAAATCCCATCTACAGTAGAGAAAATCTCCGTCTATACGTACCAGGAATTTCATTATAGAGGCAATCTTGGTACTGTGTGCTGTTTCCGACGCATTGAGAAGAGTCTGGACTGTGCACCTCACAATAACGAGTGCGATACTGGATCCCCTCTTCATTACACAAGCTCCACTCTGACCACTCYGACCAGCCACCTTAAATCCAAGATCAAGATAACACATAGAGAACATCACCCAAAAGAGAGAAGACCCCATGTAAAATCCAAACTTGCCCAATACTGGAGGGTGTCTAGATGCCCTCTAGATGAGATCATCCTCTCAATTCAAGCAGTACTGCAAGCATCATACCCTACTCACCAAGTTGAGCTGCCGTAATACTGACTGAACCAACCCGTGTGGAGCACTGCCTAATGTAGGATTGTCTTAAAAGCTCCTGTATCAGCTCTCTGGCTGAACATGCACAAGGATGGAGCTATGTTGCACCCAGCATCTGCAGAGGCCTCGTGCAGTTACTCCAAGCAGCCAGCACAAGTTACAGTGGATTTGTTAAGGTCTCTAGGAACAGCACTCACAAAGGTGGTTCAGACACAACACTGCTCCAGCGCCTGACCTTTGAGATGTAGCACACACTCATCTGCCATTCTGTGTGAGACACAAGAACGAAGGATTGCTCCTTCAGCAGCTGCACAGATTGGGACTTTATGATTCCTTTTCTTCCTCTTGCAAACTTCCACCTTCAAGAACCAAATTCCTCCTTTTTCAATTACTTTAAATGGATCATCCGTTAACAAGACGCTGCCTGACCATGCCAGGGCATGGTCTAGTGAACAAGTAAAGAGGAAGGTAACGCATTTAATTTGAAAACAAGGGCCTACCTTTACTCTGGTTCAAAATACAGTTACTGAATGGACAGAAAAGTTTCTAACTGGTGGTGTTTCTGATCTGTTTTTCAACCCTTTGCCGATGCGCCTGTTTCCCACCAAAACCCAAGGCAGCTGGAGCAGGGCTGAGAATTGGCTACCTTCACAGGGGTGAGTGTTGCAGAGGGCCTCCTCGGTGTGCAGACCGATGCAGATATCCTCGCCGCTCGACGGGGCCGGGTTGGTGCAGGTCCGCGTGCGCTGGTAGTGTCCTCCACCACAGGTCGCTGAGCACTGAGACCAGGGAGTCCAGCAAGACCATGAGCCTTTCACTGAAGGATATTGAAAAGCAAGGAGAGGGATGGACACACATGGGGTTACTCCTTTTGCTGTGGCAAACTCGGAGACATCCCCAGGCTCTCACCTTCCAGATCCCCCTGTTCAGACTATCTCACACTTTCTTGTACTCCAGGGCATTTGGGCCTGGGAACAAAAACCTTTGTATCCACCCTGTGAATGCAGAATGAATCTGCACAAAAGAAGAGCCTACAGCACGAAGTGCCCTAATACACACTATTCTTTAGGGTAGTCACTTTGTTCTTACATTACTGCTATTGCATTTTTTCCTGAAACTTCACCAACAGCAAGAGCAGATTTACTTGGAAACAAAATGCTGTAAAACCTAAGCGGAGTTTATATGGCTTCTTTCTGTTGGGGGCCCCCAAGACTTCTAGTCCCAACGCTCAGGAAACAGAAGCTCAGAGGCTTTGCCTGAGTAGAGTCACGTAACAAGTTAATGATAAATCTAGGGAAGCAATTAAGAGCCCTACTTTGAACCCCTCTTGTCTGCCTACTAGATTATCTGATCTGMAGGTCCACATTACATTATTTCAGGAGATATCTTTAACAACCTGATGACTCAGTGCAAGATAAACCCAGGATTTGTGTATACACATCAAGTGAGGGAGGGAAGGAAGGAGACACAGAGAAATAGGAATCATGCACTCAGAACAGATTGTAAAACATCAGAGTGTCCAAGGGCAGAAAACAGCACAGAAAAAGGGCACAGACATTAGTGAAAAGCCACTGAGATCTTCCAAAATAGTACTAATAGCTGCCTTACAGGGACAGAGCTATTTTCATTCTTTGGCCACAGAGTGCAGTATTTGCCACTGTTGCTATGCTCTACCCGTTTGATCATCATTCTGTTTGCATTGTTTTTATTTTTTTTTTTTTATCTTTGCATTGAGTTTTAGTATCATAATAATGCTAATAATACTTTAAAGTACAGGCCACAAACTGTATTGCCATGGTAGATAATTGCTGAAACTGCAAATAGGTGAGATGATTTGTCTAACAACACTTAAATTTGGGTTTGATCATCATTACAGAGAAGGATAAGCAAGTGAAAATACAGTTGTTAATGGTCTATTATTACTATTCTGGACCAGAAGTGCAACATAAACATGAGGACAAACTTGAAAACCAGGAAACCAGGCAAGAATACTCCCTGCTGGCTGTGCAGGAAATGGTAACTGATGTCAAGAGTAGATGCCCATCGCAAGAACAATACGTAAGCAGGAGAGGGGGAAGAAACAAGTGTTCACAAGAAGAATCTCCACATCAAGCATCTCTACACAGTATTAAGCCACATTAATTAAGCCTGTCTTATCACCAAGGTGCAGGAGCACCATGATGCCCTCCACTGGATGGAACATCAAACCTGCTTGAAGTAAAAAATTGCAAGCCAAGACACACTATTACTTCCTTTAGAGGATGTAGCTGAGTTACCCTATGAACCTTGATGAAGCCTATGTCCTAACACAGAAATATGTGCAGAGTCATTTCAACRGCTTTTAAAAATTCAGGAAAAACAATCCTAAAAGTTACGGGGAAAAAAAGGCAACTTAGAAATACTAATTTTGATGTCTCTGCCACTTAAGATGGGGAAGAACACCTCTGAATTTCATGCAGGAAGGTGATAATGGTTACCTGGGCAGGGATGAGGGTTGCAGTCTTGGTACTCCATCGCTGACCCCACGCAGGGCAAGCCACCGTTTTTAGGTTCGGGATTTGTGCACGTTCTCTTCCTGATCCTAAAGCCCAACTCACAGTCCCTGGAACAGGAGGACCAGGCCCCCCAAAAGGACCAGCCCCCATTGATAATCCGGGCCGAGGTCTTACCAGTCTTGAGGAGGTCATCAACAAGAGCTTCAAGGAAAACAAATAGAACACCGTATGGTTATAAATCAGTCAGTTGCCAGCTTTTACAAAAGGACTTCACCTCATAAATAAACTCAGGATTTGCGAGCCTTGGGGAAGGGTTTCTTTTGAAAGCTTTTAGCAAGAGTTTTGTTCCACTGAGCTAGAGGTAGAAGTGAAATGAATTCTGTACACAYAGAAGCTGAGTCAAGTAATAACCTTGATAAATGACCTCTCTGGGCAGCAAACTGTGGCAACCCAGGCTTTGGCCTGAGGACATTGACTTGCATCCCAGCAGCAGTGAAGGAAATTATCCCAGAGGCAGAGCAGGAGAGGACCTCCAGAGAGAAAGAAGAGCACAGACAGAGCACCGTTCTGCAGAAAGACTCTTCTCTTTTCTACATCCTCATTACTAGCTTGTCCTCTCTATAGTCTGGCAGTAACAAGGACAAATCTATACACCACCATAAGCACAGAGCTCAGGACTGTGCTGACTGCAAAGTCACAGGGCTCCCTGCACGTATCCCACTCATTCTGTAGTGACACTAGCTGTACATGCCAAGGCTTTGGTAGGCACACTCAGTTTTTTGTTGTCCCAGGGATCCCCCATCTACCACCAAARCCAGGCTTGGCCCAACGCCCCCCCAGAGCTGTCGAGACGTACAGTCAGTATCACACACTGCCGAGCCATCATTGGGGCAGAAGCGGCTCTCCGTTTTCTTCCTCCCAAACTGCAGCTCATGGGGGTCGGAGAGCTGGGCACGGCACGTGTAGCGGAAGCGCTGCTCCTGGCGKGCTCCGTTCTGCGTGATGTTCACGGGCATCCAAGGGGTCCACGGGGTGTTCCTGCGCACCTCCGGGCAGCTCTCGGGGTTGCACGTCTTATATTCCTGCCAAGGRAAAAAAAAGAATTCTTATTATTTATCAAACAGTAACAGATTAACAGATTCATTTCCATCCCACAAAGCAAGAGAGCAGCCTCTGGATCTAAAATGGCATCCCTCCACACTACCTGACCTCACAGATCCGGGTCAGAGCTGGGCCCAGCACAAAGCCAAGGCACTGAGAAGGCAGTGGTGGCCTCTTGGTACCCTCACTGGTGATACATAGCCTCAGGCAGACCTCGAGGGTAACTTGTGCTTGCTATTCTTACGTCCCTCAGATTTGTGTTTCTCTGCTGACTCAGCCTCCTGTGGGCTTGGAAAGCCTGGTACACTGGATAGGATAATGCTCCAAACAACAGATAATAACAATAAACAAGCTATCTCCTGCTATGGGCCTGAGATATGATTGCCAGGCCAGCCTATGGGGCCTGCATGAGGACAAAATGTCAATAGGGTTTATTCCTTGAAAACTTTACTATTTTATTTTCCAAGATGCTCTTGGAAAAATCTTTTTTTTTATAGCTATGTTTGTAACTTTATTTGGTTAGCTTTTATTTTTAACTCTCTAATGAGGGTTATAAACCATTTTCCATCCTTGACGTAGATCTGAGCACCCACTGGTTCCAGCCAATTTTCCAGACCAAGGGGGATAAGGTGATTTGAGGTTTTCACAATTTTCTCTACCAGCGAGGGAAGTTCCAGTGAAAAACATCAAGTTCTTGCTTTAAAATAAATAAATAAAGCAATCTCTTCTGGCAGAGGGAAGGAAATGTAATGCTTCAGGACTTTATGATTCTAGAGTAAATGCCAAACAGCTTGTGAACAGATGGGAGGTTCCAGATCAAATCTGCTTACACTGGAAGAAAACTCTCCATAAAAATAATTAAAACAGCTGCATGAGGCAGCTGCCAGAATGAGAAAGTGAAAAAAAAAAGACAGGAAAGGGGCAGCCATTGCCTCACTTGTGGGTTAACTGCATGTTTGACCTGCTGTTGACTCTAGCGTGAGTGCGAGACTGATTTCTGATGCCTGTAGGGCTTCCTTGACTCAGTGGGATCATCCCTGGGAATGGGATAGAAGAACAAAAAGTGGAGTGCCTTCAGGTGAACAACCTGATATCTGAACCTACAAAACCCTATACACACACAATCACATCAGCTTCACAACTTCACTGGCCTCTGCAGTCTCCCACCTCTTTACTTCCCAGTCCATTCCAGTATCATCTCCAGCAAGGGCTGAGTCTAACATTTACTCCTAGCTTGAGAAATAAAATCACGATGGAGAGAGGAGTGAAATACCAAGTCCCTAGGAGCTAAATGTCAGTAGGTGCCCTATATGCAATGTCAATAAATAATACATACCACAGCACAGCCTGGACATGTATTGCCATTTTCACAGGACCTCTGTCTTGAATGTATGCCACCACCACAGTTGACACTACATTTATTCCAAGGACCCCATGAAGACCAAAAAATTGGTAATGGGCATGGACTATTCTCATTGCAGAATCTGAAAGAGGAAAGCACATTGCTCAGTGGAAGTCCACGTCAACACATCCCGGGGACAAAAGCATAATGGGTGCAAAACTAAACTGCACATTGCATTTGGGTGCAATTCATGCTTGCACACAAAGCCAGCAGAACCTGGTTATTTTGGTACTATTCCTGTTTGTGGCAGACAACTGTACTCTTTACACAAAACCAGGAGTYGTTAACCAGACAGCAAGGCTGAGCTCACTAGCAAGCTTGCAGCAAATGGTTGTGATCGGGCGTTTGAAAGCACTGTCTCAAAACTTTTATACACTGAAGTTAGAAAAGACCCTATAAGCTGAAGTCCACGTATCTCAATGAGAGATACTCAATGGTAAATCYTGAAATTTGGCTCTTATTTACTTAACTGATGGGAGCTCAACTCATCCATCAMCCACTCTTAATGGCAGGTACTAAGTGGTTGACAGTCTTCTCTTCCCAAAAATCTGGCCCTTATTGCTGTTTGGAAGTAAGAAGCTAGTGTTTGCAGCTGGAGCCAAAACAGCTATACACATCTAAAAGCAGCTGATAAATTATTGTTGTTTCATGTTCCCTTTCTAAAAGGTAACTTCAATTTTGTTCAGTTTTTGAATCGATATTCTTCTCAAATTGAATCACATAGAACCCTAATTGACTCAGACATAGTCTTTAAAACAAAAAAGGACCATTCCAAATGGTCTCAGATCAAGCCAATCATTAAAATGTCCTGAAGCAAGGAAGTTAACTGAATTGCCCTTTGGGTTCTGAGAAATGCAGAGAGATCTGTCTGAAGTGACCACTCATGGAACAAGCAACAGCCTACTGACAGGCAGAGGTGGCCTTTAATGAAAGGTCTATGTTGGAAACCAAATGAGGATGCCTCAAAGGATCTGTTTAATGATGGGCTGGRCTTGAAGAAATAAAACAGTTCAGATAGCTTTGCAGATTCTAAAAGTATTGTCTTTCCGTGATTTTGCATCAAATTTGCATAGTTTAGAGGGAAAAGAAATAGATACTTTTCTGTTGCCAATCCAACAAAAACTCCCCACTGAGTCTGTGATTAGTTAAGCTGGATTCTGTCTCCAACTCCTGGTGTCTCAGCACAGTTAATGCAGAACTTAGGCCCAGCGTAACTGGYGAGGAAAGCTGTGATTTGGGAGCACCCCTCACCTCTCCTCCCGGCTCTGTCCAACGCAGACGCGACCCCCGTAGCGGGGAGAGGGATTGCTGCAGGATCGCTGGCGCACCTGGAAGCCGATCCCACAGGAAGTGCTACACGGAGCCCAGGAAGACCAGGGTGTCCAAGCACCATTTCTARGGAAGGCAGGGAGAGAGAAGGGAGAGGGCAGGTTAGCTGAAGCTCTCCCCTTGCCGTGCTCGGCCCGCCAGTGAAGCGCACGAGGCTCTGGCAGGAGAATCCTTGAACGCACTGGAAAAGAGCTGCATTCATTCCAAGCACATGATCCATCAGCTGAGATTTGGAAGAGGGATTTTCAAAGCACTTAGCACTGGCCTAACTTTCCTCTCACTGGAGTCTCTAAGACTTGGAAAGGAAGGGAATGAAGCCAATATTGAATGATTTTGGAAATCCCTCCTAGGATTTTCTGGGCAACAACATGGCTGTGGTAACTCTCACCGACTCTTCCCCTATCATCTCCCCTTGTGCCTCTTAACTTCTYTTTTCTGAGCCAAAAGCTGCTCCCAAAGCTGTATCTCCTGGGTTCTTCTGCACAACCAAATGCAGTTTTTGAGGCTCACCAAAGCCTGCTGTGCCAAAGGATGTAAAAAAAACCCCTATTTGCTGCTCATTCAGTGGGTACTGATGCTTTAAATCTGTTATAGCAACAATACTGCCAGCTCCCGTGGTTTTATCACAAGCCTCATAATATTTGGTGCTTTCCTAAAGCCTTCGGCCTTGAATCCTATTAACTGGAAATCTCAAATTTCATTAAAAATAACAATAATTGCTTCTTGCTTTCATGGCAGCCTGCAAACGCCACCGTAGTGTGGCCTTGGAGCTGCAGAAACCAGAAAGCAATTAAGAGCTCAGAGGCAGGGCTGAGTTTCTGAGTTTAATGAGTGATCCCATCTCAGCCTAACTCAGCCTGTGGGAAACRTGATGCAAAACCCCTGTGCTCCCACCGCAGGGACCGAGGTCCAACACGTGCACACAGTGGGTTTCTGTGATGCTGCTGGTGCGMTGACTCAATGATGGGGTTAAACAGAAGCCAACCTCTTCATTCTGAACGGCTCTTGATTATTGAAGCTCCCCTTCCCTTGATTTGGCAGCGCTGCTGAACCTCCCGGAGACAGGGAAGGGGGAACCGCGTTCTGTCTCTTCGCTGCTGCAGGTTTTCAATTCACAGGGAGCCAGTGGCAGTGCTCTGTCTTACAGAGATGCCTGATCTTGATGCTATACTGCCTTAAGCCAAAAAAATCTCATCTGCTTTTTCTGAAAACACAAAAACCAACAAAACCTTTCTAAAAAGTCTAGTCAGAAAACAACTCAGGTGCTCTCTGGTTCTTGAAAGCTAAGCTCAAAAACAGATGTTAATTTTCAAAGCATTTACTGAACTAATAACATTGCTGGCAAGAAATATGTTCTGGCGTAGCACCAATCAGGGCAGAGGATGAAAGTTAAAACCCACATTGCCCTTCACACTTTTTGTATTTGTTATCAAGTCTTGCCTGTTCTTGGCACCCTTATCAAACATTGTCAGATATTTTCCCCTCCTCTTCTTCTCTCATCCCTTCTCCCTCCTTCCCTCTCACTCCCTAAACAAGGTTAAAGAACATGAAATTCACTTACATAAAATCCTACTCTTCCACATTACTCTTTGCATTTTAACCCATGGACTACTACCTTCACTACCTCAATCCAGAAGAATCATTACATACAAAAGCTCAAAAGAAAAAAAATCAAACATAAGATTGCTGTTGTTGTAGCACAAAAGTAATCTCTACTAAAAATCCCCCCAAACCCCCCAATTCTCAACAATTATTTGTGTTCAGGATTTTTAATGGAAAGGAGGGCTCTTTCCACTCTCACACTTCCAGCTCCTGCTTTCTAATAGAACTCATCTTTAAGCATCCTGCTTTCTCATTTCAAAAAAAACCTRCAATGCCATATGAAGTCAATTAAAGGAAATCCGAGGGCTGAGGCGGATGTAGCATGACCAGATGTCCCTATTTTTCAAACCATGCTGTTTTCCTATGTCCTAAGATTGAATAATATATTTTTCATCCCCTTCTTTGAGGATGTCCCTGCCTCTTTCGTCATCAGAGCAGTGCTGACAAACCCATCCCGCTGGCAGACCTTGCAATTCCCACTGATATGAAAAGGCTGCCTTGGGAACATGGCCTCAACCCACGGTGGCAGCACAGGGGTGCAAATGACTGCCTGTGTTTTAGGCAGCACAGGCTACAGCTGGAAGGATAGAGGCCAATTAAAACAGGAGTGTTGCTGAATTCCTGGTGCCAAGAGCAGAACTTAATGCAGGGAGGAGTYGGGAAACAGCTGTCCTTAACAGAASGAGCATTTACAGATAAGGTGAAGTAGATTTAAATGGTGTCGACCCAGTATTTACCAAAATACTGGCTGGCCCCACCCTGGTTGGGCAGCATTTCCACTACTGCATCTTCTTTCCTTGAGTCATGGCATGATGCAGGCGGAGGGCGACGGGTAACAGGGACACAAACTCTGTGGCCACGCTTAGGCACCCAGCCAGAGACATTTACCCCTGTATTGCTGAAGCACAGGCTGCAGCCCTCCCTGGAAGGGCAGCACTTGCACACAGAGGAGCTGTGCGTGCTGTCTAAGGGCTCTCCCTAAGCTCTGCTCGTGGCTTCTTGATGATCTGTTGTTTTCACACAACCCATGTGTTGCAGACAGTTCACAGATCCCAGAAGAAGGCAAACAGACCTTGCTCGGAGCTGAGCGAGGCCCTGTCTTTATAAACCTTGCTCTGAAGGATCTCTCCCTGCTTTCGCCAATGCAGCCTGAGCCTTCAAGCTCCAAAAAACAATGATTGAGAGCTTATACTGATTTTTTTTCAGTCTATTGTTGTTCCACTGACTAACAACTGCTTCTGCTGTGCTTGCTACCTCTTGATAGATCACTACCCACTGCACAGTTGAGGAAAACTAAGGCACAGTGTAGCAAAGGCTAATGCTTGCACTTATTTGGGGTGCCACCTTCTGATGGCCCCTTTTGAGACACCTGAAGACTGTTTCACTGGACTCTTTCATTTTCCACTACCTTTAAGTTGGAGCTTGCATACATCAGCCTGGCTGAGATACAAGACGACAGTCATGGAAGCACAAAGAAAGGCAAGAGCAGGCACAACTCTTACTGCCCTCCCAAAAAGCACGGAGGTGCTGAGGTACCTTGAACAATTTGCAACCTCGATCCTGGCCCCCTCGCAGGCGCGACCTCCGCAGCGAGGACGAGGGCTGTCACACGAACGTGACCTGCACATGCAGGAGCCTGTGCTGTCCCCATCTGAATGCTCACACAGTTGCCACGGGGACCACGGCCCCAGTCTTCCATTTGTTGTCAGGTTTTTCACCTAATTTGAACAAAAAAAATGGTCATTAATAGCGAGTTTACATTTCAGGAGACAGCCCCACAATGGCAACGTCAAACAGAGCTGCTGGAGGGGATGAGGACGCTGCTTGGACGGGAGCTGTCTGCGCCTGCGAGCAGGATTCAGAACAGAACGCTGTTTCCAGACGATGCTGCGTCAATATTTACCCTCCAAATTCCACCTCACATACCCAACATGTGCTCCCCGGGCAGCCAACGTCGGCTGCGAGYGCCCAGCTGCCACCCCACACACCACCCACTCAAGGCTAACTGGTTCCGCTCTGCGGTGCTGGGGCTGCTCCTGAGGACTGTTCTCCTCGTTGAGAGCTGGTGTAACCACAATGACCAACTGTGAGCAGGCTAGGCCCTGTGCAAACATCCAGTGGGACCTGGCTCCCCTCCTGAGCAGAACCGCGGCCCATGTGGGTCAAYGGGATGGAGGACAGAAGGTGAAAGAGATGGGGGTGACTGTAATTAATGCCCCAGATCGCACCGTGAACTAAGGAGCAAGTACTGATCTCAGGCAATTTATAGAGCTGAGCACGTTGCCATCTGTTTTCTCTGCCCTTTATTTTATGCCTGTACAGCAGCTAACAGGCTGGGACTTGCACTAGTTCCTAAGCACTATAACAAAGTTAAAATACTGCAATCCTGGCAGAGCAACGACAGGAGGAACAGACTGTTTCAGCCCAGGCCGCCTAAGAGGGAGGCTGTCAGTGATTGCTCCCCGGTGTCCTGTTCTAACCAGGGCTGTATTTGGCCACTATGAGACCTAAGGCTTGGCAAGCAAGATGCTAGTCCTCACAGCCCAGGCTGATTGAGCAAATCAGCACTGCCTGCTCCTTCCCGAGCCACCTGCAGGCTGCTGGTGTCCCTGGTGCCACCACTGTCCCTGAGCGGTGCTGGAGGCAGCCTGCCCTGCACCACTGCCCCTCGCGCCTGCCTCCGCCCTTCCTCCTCCTCCCTCGCCACGGGCTATCTCCTTGCCGCCACACACAGCCCCAGGGGACCTCCTCCATCCTCCTGGATCCCGCTGGGAGATGAGGGCAGGGAATGGGTGACTCATTCCCATCGTGTCACCCTGGTGCACTCAGTGGCTTTGGTGGGCAGAGCAGCAAAAGCCGGGCTGAGCTTGGCCTTGGTGTCTCACCCAAGGAAGGGGTAAGAAGGGACCAGCCCAGGACCCTGGCAAACAAGCTCCAAAACYGACCCATGCAGTGACAGGGCAGCAAGTTAGAGCTGTTGCTGTGCTCGCCAGGTGGTTCTTAGGGGGCTCTGAGCATCTGCTGCAAACCTTCCCTTTGGATAGATTGCCAGGCTGYAGGAAAAACTTGCTCCAGGCGGCGRGTTACGGGGCAAGGCGCCCAGAGAAAGAACGCTGCGTTTTGCTGCTGCTGCCACATTGGTTGTTTGAAAAACATACACGATCAAATATGAAGACAGTTGGGTTGCTAAAAGTTAGGGGAAGGAAAAATCAAGAGAGATCATTTGAAATATTTAATATAAGGTTTTTATCCCTTTTTTTTCCCTCTTGCCGTACAAAAGTCATAATCCAAGTATTGGATCATTTCTATTCATTTTTGAGCCAGAAAGCCTTGTTTATTCCAGCAGAGAGCTCTGTTTCAGAAATCAATGGTATGATATGGCCCGTGGCTTCAATTAGAAAAAAAAAAGCTGACAAATAATTATTGGCTCATAAGTGCTACTGGGAAGCAACCCAGAAATTAAACAAATAAGCGGCCATAGCTGCAAAGTTAAGATTCATAAACATGTCACGTTAGGAGTGTGGGAAGTTTTTATCCTTAAGAAATTATGTATGGATTTTTATTCCATCTTTAAACTCACAGAAATATCTTCAAAAGAGCAAACTGGGAATTGGCATAAAAATCCATATGCACTGAGCGTCTGCAGGAAGATCTCTACAAGGAAGCTTTTCTGGTAGCCAACAATGTCCATCCAATACAGAAGACAACTTTAAAGACACCTGTGATCTAATGTACTGCTCTGACCAGTTTCAGCTCTTGTTTTGCAAACTGCCATCCTTTCACCAAAGGCTTCAGCCTTTCCTCCTTGAATCATCTTTTCCTTGGACTATCTATGCAAAGACTCAAGTACARGATTTAAAAACTCCGACTGATCACTCCTCAACCCTCTCAAAAGGGCATTCTTAATGTTTATTCTGATATAATGGACAAGCTAGAAGCTCTCTCTCTTCTCTTTAGAAACTCAAAATTCTTTAGGTTCATCCATGCTTCCCCTTCAGATTCATATATGAACTGCTTATAACTTTGCCAAGCTTCAGTCGTTTCAACTGGAAGTTTCAGCTGGAAGTTTCCATGTTGGCTGTTCTGAGAGAAGCCAGGAGAATTGGAAGGTTTCAATCAAGGTATTTCAACCACTTCTAAAATCAAATCCAGGAAAAAAAAAATCAATAGCAATTTTTTTTCCTTGAATCACCCCACCAGTGGGAATGAACATGCACCAACAGGGAAAACCAGAGCTGCATATGCAGCATTTGTCCCAGCATTTCTTAATATTTAAATGTTTGACATTGCAACCGTGGTAATGAATCTTCAGCAAATTCTGTGTGTTATCTGTTAATAACATATATTAACCACTGCACAAGGTACTATGCTAACATGGTATGATGAATCCTGTATCCAAGGTCTGTTATTATTAAAGCCAAACAGTGGTTGACTGCAGGACAGTGCGGTGCTGTAGGAAGATGTACAGACAGTTCTGAACAAGAATATTTGCCTGAGAGTAAGAGTCGAGGTTTTAGTGCTGTGCTTGACTCACCCTGACCCGGGCCCTCTGAGGCCATGGCTCAGTGAAATGCCAGTTCCAGCTTCAGAAGTTCCTGCCTGCCACCCCTTGGGCTGTGCCAGGACATCTGCTCGTGGGCTAGGCTGCAGAAGGACTCACTGACATTCTCTGCACTGGGAGAGGGTTGTTTGGGAGGGGTGTTTTTAATCCAGACCATGTTGTGCTTTAGTGTGATCTCACATACAGCTCTACCGGCAGAGCTGAGCACATGGTGCTCAGCCCAGAAACGTGGGGTGAAAAAAGCAGGAASAGAAGCCAAGATTTCTTAAGACAGTAGCTCATCAAACTGACCTCTTGGAATTTAACTGAAATTACACTTTAGGACACTGCACTCCCTCATCTTTTTAGGCCCTCCTCTGTTTACTAGAGTCTTTAACCTGCACTGGACATTAGGAACATACTTGGGTGCCCAGTTGATGCAGAGGCTTAAATGAGCCATCCCCTTCCATCCCAGAGGTGAATTCATTTCAGCAAGGCCAGAGGAGAAAGAAGAAGTGATTGCATGCAGGTTTTAAAGCACCTGGCAGCCCTTCAGTGGAAGGGCACAACACTGATGTATGCAGCAGAATGACAGCCCCTAAACCTAAAATAATCTTCAAGGGAAATGCTAAAATAAAGGTAAAACGAGTACCCTATGGGCAGCCAAAGCTCCGGAATATTCTGTGTTGGGTTTTTATGACCTTGAAACAATGGTCTGGAGCCGGCTGCTCCGTGGTGCGCAGCGCCACGGATATGTTGGGGCCAGCGGATTAACACCTCAGGCACCTATCACCAGACACAGGCATTAGGCAGGAGGAGATAACAGCTCGGGCAGTCAAGGAGCCCTGCCTCCCAGTTCAGCACGGGAGGGCTRTAAACACACCAGCCTCCGAATCCAGCCGCGCAAAACTTAAGCCTGCCAAGCTGAGGATGGATTGAAGTAATGACTAATTTTTCCTGGGAAAATATCTGAGGAGTAAGGAAGATAAGGGGCATAAACATCCCAGCACCTCCAGACGGAAATAGCTGACTGAAGACCCAAGCCATGCAGCCCTCGCAATCTGTCCGCTGCACTTAGCAGTATTTACATGCTAATTGACATTAGATAATGACGATGGGCATTAATGAGAATTTCTCCTCCCCACACACTACGATTAATTTAGTAAGACTGGCTTTCCTTCCTAACCGCCTTGCAGGTATGGTTCAAGCAGCAGGAATTAAATTTGGCCAGACGGCTGCTGGGGATCACAGCCAGGAGCCGGATGCTGCCGTGAGAGGAGGAGGAGTAGGAGCGGGAAGGGAACCAGAGACACAACCCAAGCAGACTCCAGCAGCGCCACTTTCTTCTAACCCCCACATGTCACGGAGAGCAGGGCAAGGAAAGAGGACAATCCCCTTTAAATATCACACGGATTTGGTTTTTGGTCCATAAATCCAGTTTGGAAATGAACACCTTCTTTCTCTCTGTCGGCTCTCCCCTTCCCTCCTGTGTCCTTTCGTTCCCCCTGCAAACCCTGCACACCCGTTTCTCAGCTGCTCCTCAGGCACCTTCAGCTTTTCCAGTTCAGTGCTGCTTGACCAGCTTCAAATCCTGCCCCCTGCTCTGGGGTGTAAGAGGGGAACAAACTGGACACAGCCCGAGGACACTGTATGGCAGCTATTCTCATTTCCCAGACCTACAGGCAAGCCAAGGGAATGGTGCAGAGCGGAGCAGCCTTGAGGTGGCTCCGGTTTCATCTGGGCTTATCTCAGCAGAAACYCAACAGCACCATGCAACCTGCTGTACTCAAGGCAAAGGTGGCAGGMGCGGGGCTGAATGTGTGTCTGGGGATCCCTCCCTTCCAGGAAAAACAGATGCATTGGGATGTCTGTGCTCGGAACTATAGAAAATGTTTGCCTTGGGTCTCAGCATGGCCCCCAACAGCCAGTGCTCCTCCCCTCTCCATTCACCCCAGAGCACGGGGCAAGTAAGGTGCAGCTGCACAAGACCACCTGGTCCCAGGGCAGCTCTTGGCATCAGGCTGCCRCACATTCATTTGCTCTCCCTCTTCCACGCACACCCCCCACACCAGTGGATATAAAATATCTCCACTTGTTCCACTTACTGGGCACTCAGTGATATTTTGAGTCCAGAGGCTCATGTTGGAGCTGTCCTCAATGGTGGTGCAGCGCTTCTGCTTGCTGTCCCAGCCACAGTAAGGGTCTCTGGCTCCTAGACATTCCCTGCACGTGCAAAGAAAAAAAGATTAAAGTTCTTTAAGACTGGCTAGCTTCAAAAACGTGTATTGAAGTATAGTGCTTCTATATGACAGCTGTCAACTGCACGGAGGCCTCAGCAGAAGAGACAATTTCTTCTAAGCAAAGGTTTACCTGCTGGGAAGGGAGGAATGGCTGAATAGAAGGGTGATAGGACACACAGCAAGTATCACTCCGAGAAGCTGTAGATTAAAAATCAGTTCACTCCTTCCCAAGGCCTGGGGAAAGAAAATGACTTTACAAATTTTAGTCAAAGAGCACTTGTTATTGAGATATCTTTGTGCCCCCAAGTAATCACTCATCAGGCCAAATCTCACACAAAGCAACCTCTGTGAGTATGTTTTCTGACACCCTGTCCATCCAAAGGGGTTAGACAAGCACAATTAGCCAATGGACCAGTAATAAAGGCTTTCTATTAGTCTTAGCCTTTGCTGGAACAATGGGTTCATTTATAATCCTACCATCAAGATGTCAGTTTGGAAAAGTCACAGCAGAACATTATTTCTAAGCTTCTGGCTGCTTTGAACACTGCTGTATTCATTTTCCCCCGGAATCCATATTTACAGGCTAAGTGTGTGTTCCCAACATGCAAGCTGCTAAGAAAAATAACTAGGGTTACTGCTGGCACTAGACAGAGAAGGTCAGTCACAGAGTTAGGCTTTATTGATAGAAGTCAGCTCTATTGGTTATTCCCATGAGTCCCTTTCAAGTTGTTAGTTTTCATTATGAAAAAGTAATTATAGAAGCCATATTGTGCATGTGTTAGTCTAAGACAAAGAAGAGAGGACTAAACCTAAAAAGATTTGTAACACTATTTGTTATTCCAAAGATCCATTCTATTCTGTCACACAAAGAGCAGCCACGCTCTCTCCCAAAGTCCCAAATGATTTGAAAACTGCCAATTAAACACCAGCAAGAGACCAAAGGGAAGAATTCAGTTGAAGAAACTAAATGGGAGAGTAATAAAATTTATTCTAGGGTAGGTATCCGTATGTTAAATGAAACATCAAAAAAAAAAAAAAAATCAAATGCAATGAGATGTGAACCATTCCCACCTAGAAATCTTGAAAATCCTATTAGTTTGTAATCTGCCTCAAATGGAAGAGAACCTCCCTTAAGCACTGCCAAAAACACTGGGTGCTGCACCAGTCTGCACTGACTCCACAGCAGTTTGCCCCCAAAGCAAGCCCCAGACTCTCTGGTGCCCACTGATTTTTACATATACCTATATATTTATATCTTGGTGACAAGTTTACAGCTTGCTTATAAATTGCGGAAAGATATTTGCTCTACTAAGGATTTAAACTGCTCTATTATAAGGAACATAGCCCTACATCCTTCACACTCCAGGATGGAAGTCACAGTGGGCTGACTACCCCATTTTTTTTTTCCAACTGCTTAAAAATATCCARGGAAAAAGCAAAGTTGACTTTGACTCAGCCCCAGGCAACAGAACATCAAATATTTGCCTAGAAAAGATTTGGGATCCTCGGTCCAAGGACACAGAAGGGCCATGTGCTGCTTTTGCTCATTCTGGCTGTGGATCCTGATCCTGCTGCTTTGGCAAACCACACTGCTCTACTCCGTGGTGTGGATCTGCCTCCACGGGCACTGCGGGCTCCTTTCTGCCTTGGGCAGGGCAGCAGCCGCTCGGCACGGCCAGCGCGGAGCTGGTTCCTGAGGCCATGAAGCCAACGGGGCAGCCGCCCACCCTCGAGGTGCCTTGGCACTTCAGGACACAACTGTGCGGATTCTGGAGAGAAGAATGAGCATGAGAGAAGCAATAAGCAATGCAAAAAAAAAAAAAAAAAAAAAAAAA